TTTTTTTTTTTGGTACCAGGGATCGAACTTGGGTCCTTGTGCTTGCAAGCCAGGGGGCGGAACCACTGAGCTAAATCTCCACCCCTAAGTTTTTAAATTATTTTCCACTAAAAGGATCCAGGACTAACTGGGAAAATGACTGGGCTGGCAAAGTCCCAAGTAAGTCTGGAACACCTTGTACCCCAAATTAGGAATTGCTCAAAAAATAAGGGCACAGGAGCTAGCATGAAGAATGCTAGCTGACCAAATGTGGATCAGTTTGGACCCTAAAAACAGGTGCAGTGGCACAAGTGTGGAATCCAGGACTCTCTAGGCCAGCCTGGGCTTTGTATGTAGTGAGAGCCTGGGCACCTGGACCCCCAATCATGATCAAGGCCCTGTCTCAAAAAGAGGTGGGGACTGAGGTAGAGCTGACTGTAGGACCCCACAGCCTTCACTTGCCTAGCATGTGCAAGGTCCCGGCACCACACATACAGAAAAATGTGGATCATAACATATTGACTATAAAGGGAATCCATGGGTCTGGTAACATACTCAGAAAACAAAACAAAACCAAAAACCCAGAAGTGATGCCAGTGAATGGATGTAAAACAATGACAGATCAGCCAGCTTGGTGATGCACACCTATGATCCCAGCACTCAGGAGGCTGAGGCAGGACTGCAGTGAGTTCAAGGCCAGCCTGGGATACACAGCAAGACTGTCTCGGGTGGTGGTGGGGAATTTGATCAGAAAAACCACCATCCATAACATTCAAAGAACTGATTCAGAAACATATCTTTATCATTGGGTACAAAGATCACCAGTAAAAGCTACTGGAGAATAATCTAAAAATACCACCACACAGGTGACTTAGTAATTTGGAAAGTGTCGAAGCACCTTAAAGGTTGAGAAGTCTGGTGGATACCTGCTTTGGAAAGTAATCAGATTTGTATCACCAATAAAGGGACAAACTGACAGTATGGGCCTTTTGTTCCCTGAGACAGGGTCTCGCTCTGTCACCCAGGCTGGCCTTGGCTCCCATGCCTCCTATCGCAGCCTGCTGAGTGCTGGGGTTGACTGCAAGTGTGTAAGATGACACCCAGCTGTATATGCCTCTTGACACAAGGCAATGAGAAGTGACCAGCAAGACCTCTAATAACATTGATTTGAAAAATTTATCCCTTAGGGCCAGGGATTTAGCTCAGTGGTGCCATTCCTGTCTTGTAAGCACAAGGTTCCGAGTTGGATCCCCAGTACTGTTAAAAAAAAAAAAAAAAGCCAGGCGTGGTGCCACAGGCCTTTAATCCCAGCACTTGGGAGGCTGAGGCAGGAAGACTGCTGTGAGTTCCAGACCAGCCTTGGCTACACAGTGAGTTCCAGGTCAGTCTTGACTATATAGTGAGACCCTGTCTCAATCCCCCCGCCAAAAATGCATCCCTTAGCCAGGCTTGGTGGCACTCAGGAGCTGGAGCAGGAGGATCGCTTCAAGTTCAAAGCTCCATAGCAAGACCTTATCTCAAAAACAAAACAAAGCAAAACAAAAATTAACCTGAATCTCTCAAAAGAAAATAGCCAAAGGTCATGGGACAGTCTACAAGTAACTGCCAGGAAGGACCCTTCAGAGATATCAGTGATAAGCCAGGTGTCATGGTGTGTGCCTGTAATAACCTCAGTACTCTGGGAGGTTGAGCCAGGATGACCACACAAATTCAAGGCCAGCCTGGTCCAAGGCCTGTTAGACCCTGCCTCAAAAAACCAAAATAATAATAATGATGATTTAGTATGCCTAAATATTGAACTTACCAGTACCCAGAGGAAATGTGCAAGTGGTGGAATGATCTGGTGGTCCTTCTGTGGCTTTCCCTCCTTTCTCTCACCCTGAGCCACATTTTATCAAGATTCTAGGGTGGCAGTGGGAGCTGCTGGCCTGAATTTCACAGAAGAGTTTCAGTGAAGTGGCGCGGAGGTGGAAGTCAATGCACTAATAAACAGAAGGGTTTCTGTTGTCCCTTCCTCACCATCCTAGCCAGTTCTCTGTGGGCTCCAGAACTTAACTTGCTATGCAATTTCCTGTCCAGTTCTATTGTCCCCTGATGGAGGGGATTTTTTCCCCTCAGCCCAGTACTGGAAATTGAACCCAGGCCCTTGTAGTAGAGCATTTAGCTGGGCATGATGGTTCATTCCTGTAATCCCAGCACTACAGAGGCTGAGGCCGGAGGACTGCTGTGAATTTGAAGCCAGCTGGGACTATATAGTGAGACCCTGTCTCTAAAAAAAGCAATAGAGCACCTGCCTATCACGCATTAAGAGCTTTCATTGCCAGCATTGAAAAAATAATCTTTATGATTATTTGATAACTTGGTAATATGTTAAATTTTTTTCTGTTTGCAGTACTAGCAATTGAGGATGTAGTTCAGCGGTGCTGCGTCTGCCTGCCAAGCACAAGGTTCTGAGTTCAATCCGATACCAAACATAATAAAACAAACAAAATCCAATTCTTTCTGGTTGTAAAAGTACTGGTGATTGAAACCAGAGAGCACTGAGCTATATGCCAAGTCCTTGTTGTTTTTTTTTTTTAATAGGTTAGCAGTTTTTTTAAAAAATAAATTTTGTATTATTGGACTGGGGATTTAGTTCAGTGGCACCATGCCTGCCTGGCAAGCACAAGGTCCTGAGTTCGATACCCAGTACCACAAAAAAGAAAATTTCATTTAATTCCATTCCCCCCAAGTCTCCTCCTCTCTCCTCGCTATGTACAAAAGCCTTGTTCTATTTTCTTTTTTTGGTACCAGGATCAAACTTAAGACCTTGCGCTTATGAGGCTGGTGCGGTGCCACTCAGCTAAATCCCCAGCCCTTTCACTTTTTTTCTTGTCACTTCCTTACTTTCTCCCTCCTCCCTTGTTCCCCTTCCCATTTAAACACTTTCTTCCTTCCCATTTCCCAACATCCATTATACATGTCAGTCCTTATTTCCACATTCAGTTTCCCACACCAGAGTAACAATGTGGTATTTAAATGTGTTTCAATTTATCTTAAAGAGTATGGTATCAAGGTCCATACATTTAGCTAAAAATATCTGAAGCCCATCTTCCTTTACAGCATAGTAGTACTCCATTGTACTAAAAAACAAACACATCTTTATCCATTCATCAGTTGAGCATTTGGGGTGTTTAAAAGATTCAGCTATTACAAACTGTGCTGCTATAAACATGGGTGTGCATGTATCACTGTGGTACCATGTTTTCAATTCTTTTGGGAAGATACCACGAACAGGTATAGCTGGATCAAAAGGAACCTCTAGTTTCTGTTCTTTGAGAAATCTCCACAATGATTTCCACAGTCTTTATTTGTTTTGTTTAGTGTTTTGAGACAGTCTGGCTATGCAGTCCAAGCTGGCCTTTACCTCCTTGTGTAGCCCAGGCTTGCATCAAACTCATGATCCTCTTGCTTCAGCCTCCCAAGAACTGGGATTAGAGGTGTGCACCATTGCATCTTGCATGTTATGTAAACCTTTTTTTTCTTTGAGACAGAGTTTTGCTATCTATCCCAGGCTGGTCTCCAACTCACAGCAATCCTCTTGCCTCAACCTCCAGAGTGCTGGGACTACAGTGGTGGGCCACCACATCCTGAATGTAAACTTTCTAAAGAAAAATTAGCAGAGCATCGTAGCACACACTTAGGAAGCTGAGGCAGAAATGTCAAGAGTTTGAGGTCAGCCTGGGCTACACAGCAAGACCCTGTCTCAAAACACAAACTAGGATGACATAATAGGTCTTCCATTTTAGTCTCATCAGACCTGAAGCCCCCATGAGATGAGGTGCTTCGGAGTATATGGAAATGAAACTTAAACACAGAATGTTGGCCTCTTTCCAACCATGACTCTTATTTCTCTTTAAAATCAGGAACAAAAAGAACTCATACAGAAATCAGATTTATGGTTGCCCAAGCTTGGGGGTGGGTGGTGGAGAATGACTGCTTGCTTGGTGCAGGTTTCGTTGCTGCTTTGTTCTGAGGTACTAGGGACTGAACCCAGGGACACTGAAGTGGAGGTATACCTGCAGCCCTTTTTAAAATTTTGAGACCAGATGAGCCACACGTGGTGGTGCATTCCTGTAATCCCAGTATTTGGGAGGCTGAGGCAGGAGGACTGCTGCAAGTTTGAGGCCAGCCTAAAGTTACACAGTGAGACTCTGACTCAAAAAAGTATTATTATTATTATTTTTAAATAGGGTCTCAGTAAGTCTCCCAGACAGGACTTGAGCTTAGTGATCTTCCTGTTTCAGTTTCCTGAGTAGCTGGGATTATGGGGATGGGCCATCATGCCAGGCTAGTGCAAAGTTTTTGTTTAGGTAATGACAAAGTTCAGAGCTACATAGTGGTGGCGAATGTATTCAGTACCACTCCACAGTATACTTTTAAACAGTTTAAAATGAATCTGGTCGTGGTAGCACATGCCTGTAATCCTAGCACTCAGGAGACTGAGGAAGGGGAATCAGTGAGTTTGAGGCTAACCTGGGCTACATAGTGAATTCAAAGCCAACCTGTACTACATAGAAAGACCCCATCTCAAAAAACCTAAAAAAAGTTGAAAATGAATGTCTTATGTTACATGTATTTTACCACAATGTCAAAGCAAAACTCATATACCTGTCCTGAGGCCCAGCTTTTACTCAGTGCACCCAGTGAGCGAAGTATGACTCACAGCAGACACAAGCCGCAGGACTCTCCAGAGCCCTCTTCCCAGAGCACACTCCAGGGGGCCAGCCCAGGCGCTCAGCCACCCCAGCCCCACCCCCCAGCCTTGGCGAACAAAGAACTCAGATACCAACAGGACATATTTCAAATAGTTTAATTTTAAAAATATTCTATTCAGTGCTAAAATAAGTCTTCACTTGTTGTTGCCCATTTCCATTTTCTTAAACTTTTTTTAAACAAAAAATAAAATCACAAAGTTCCATTAAACATGCAGATTTCAAAGAAAGGGTCTATAAAGTCTGAGCTGAGGAGTAATGTGAGGGTGTGTACTGTTGTCAGAACCACAATCCTTGCTGGGGTCAGTGGTAGCAGGAGGCAGGGACACTGGAATGAAACGTACAGGTGGAGACAGGAAGCTGCGTGTGTGCATTCGTGGGGCCAGGACAGTTAGGGGACAGGGCTGTTGGCAGCGGAAGGGCCCAGGAGAGGTGGCACCTCCTGAGGACCAGGCAGAAGGGCCAGGATGGCAAGAAACCTCCAAGGACTTGTGGCCTTGTGTAAGAAAGGCCCTTCCTTCCTGGGGAAAGGAGCCTCCCCAGCCTGCCTACGTCTCTACCCAGTCCTTCAAAGGGGACCACAGGGCCCCGGCCCTGAGGAAGTCCCACAATCTACAGTCTTAGTTCAAGTTCAAGTAACCGAGGCACTCTCCCCGCAGGGGTGCCTTCCACATCTTTCTCCTGAAGAAGCACCAGCAGCTCCGTCCAGAGGTTCTGGAGCAGAGAATGCTACCAGGAGGTGACAAACGAACCTTGGAATGGCTGAGGCTCCAGCCTGCTTGGGTGCTAAAAGGACAAAAGCACTCTTCCTAGGAGCAAGCTGGCACAGGTGCCAGGAACAGGTTGATGACACTACAACCCCAGGTCCTACGCCGGCTGTCCAGCCCGGAAGGCTCCTGTGTGCAGGCTCTGGGCCCCGGTGCTGCCCTAACCCCAGTGACACCGCACGGCCAGAGCCAGAATGCAATAAATAGAGGCAGGGTCAAGAGGAGCGCGCTGGGCAGTGCTAGCTTTTGGAGGCTGTCTGCGGCACTGCAGGCTGGTCCACACAGAAGCGCTTCAGGGGCGGGGCACCAGAGTCGTCCTCCTCCTCCTCCTCCTCCTCCTCGACCATCTAGAGGCAGTGGAGCCAAAAGTGATGGAGTCCGTGACTACAACAGACCCTCACAGCCACCCACATGACCTTCTCAAGCCTACCCTCTGCCTCTTTGCAGACACCACACTTTCCTCCAAGACCCGAAGTAGCAGCCTACCTGCCACTGAGCCCAAGTGAGCACACTCAGTGCTACCCATGAGACCCACTGCAAGGCTTTCCTTTTTTTGGGGGGGGGTTGAGACAGGGTCTCACTACATAGTTGAGACTCACCTGGAACTCACTATGTAGCCCAGGCTGGTCTCGAACTCACAGCAATCCTCCTGCCTCAGCCTCCCGAGTGCTGGTATTACAGGCGTGTGCCACCAAGCCCAGCAAGGCTTTCCTTTGGCTTGGAAACGGGGAAGGCCAAAGTGCCCCCTTACCTGGGCCTCTAGCGGGACTGGTTCCTCCTTCGTAAGAGTGGGAGGCTCATCAGCGACTTCTGAGGCAGGCAGGGAGGGCTCTGAAAAAGCAAGGTCAGCCCAAGTGTGGGCCTCACAGAGGCAGGAGACCCAGAGTCTCGGCCTCACCCCAGCAAGCTGTCCCACAAGTTACAGTGAGGCAACTTTGTGCCAGAGGAACAGTGGCCCAGTGGGGCCAGGACTCTGGTGTGGAGTCACACTCACTAATGGTAGATGGGAAGAGTGTGGTTAGGTCAGAGGGTTACCACCCGTGCCAGGCTGGGAGCCAACCCATTCTGCCACTTTCTAGACCAAACATTCTGCTCCTGACTCCTGTCCCAGTTTTATGAGAGGGTTGCTATGAAAATTAAATAGTACATGGAAGGAGCCCAAACAGTGAATAGAAAATAGTAAGTGCATAGCAAATATAGCCACACTCAGGATTACCCACAGAAAAACAAATTTTGTGGCTTGCTGTTAATGGGTCATCCAGAAACAGAAGCTATTAAGGGCCAAAGACATATACATGTCTACTTATTCTCTATTATAACAAGAAATCCCAAGATACAATGCAAAGAGTATAATTGCTGACATTATTAGAAGGACTTAAGGTGACATATGATTCCATCAGTTTTTTTTTGTTTTTTTTTTCCTTGAGACTATGTCTCACTGTCTAGTCCAGGACAACCCTGAACTCACTATATAGCCCAGGCTGGCCTCAAACTTGGGATCCTCCTATTTCAGCCTCCCAAGTTGCTGGGATTAAAGAGAAAAATCAGGCCAGAGGCAAGTCCCCTCTGGGGTCACCCATAACTCACCCTCGAGGATCTCCTGGCCCAGCGTGGGGGGCTGGGAGTCATCAGTGCGGAAGTCAGAGGTGTGTGCGGGGCTCAGGGACTCGCTCTGCTGGGGGCTGGGGCTCGAGTTAGTGCTGCTGTCCACCTTGAGCTGATAGACATCAGACATAGAACTCTGGTTGCTGTTTTCATCTGAAAACCAAACATAGCAAGGGTGCCAGTGGGGCAGGCATGTTGAAGAAAAACTCAGGCCAGAGTTGGGGGCCTGGCATCTCCAAAGGTAGCCACGGGCACAGTGGACACCATGTTACTGTTGCAGACACTCCCTGAAAAGGGCAGCCCTAGTGGGGTTTCTGGGCACTGCCAATTGTCTGCAGAGTCTACGGGGATTAATTAAGCACTTTCTATTTGACCACACATATTCTAAGCACCAACGCGCTATAAAATCTTTTAGACCTTGGGAGGGCTGGGTATTTATTGCTTCTTCATGACCACCAATTACAACTTGGGGCTGGTCTTTCCTCAATATCCAGTGGAAGGAAGGGTAGAGGTGCAGCCACAGTTAGTACTTCCCATCTTTCTCACGTCACCTAGGAAACACTACTATTAACCTGGCACTCTTGGATACCTGAAGGAGGCTGCTGCCCAACTCCCCACAGATGAGGGACTGCCACCCAGGCACTCTCTCTGAAGGCTTAAAGTCACGTAAATTCACACGACCACAGCTGCCTTCTCCCTCCCCTCCAGTGGCTGGTCACCAGATCAGTGTCTCTTCCTGCTCTGAGCTCGCTTGGGCCTGCTTCAGTCCTCTCCTGCTGCCTTAGTTCAGGCTTCACTGTCTCTTGCATGGGCTTCTGTGATAGCCATTAGGTGCCCTGCCCTCACACCACTGCCAGAGTAATCTCTCCAAACCCTTGCATGGTCCCTGCCACCTACAAGATGCCTATGCTAACCTAAGGGCTCTTCACAACGGTCCTCTGTGCCACTATGATTCCCTCACCCCAGTCTCCCTGGAAAGCCCTACACTTTTGGTGCAGGAGTACCGCCTCCCTGGTTCACACAGGGGAAGAAACCCTAATCTGTGATGCCCCTCTTGGGCTCTGTGTACCCCGCGTTCACTGCTTCACACACCTGTGCAGCAGGCTCTGTGACTCCCAAATGTAACACACAGTAAGTACCTGGCCTGTAGCAGGAACTCATTACCACTTCCTGAATGAAGAGTCAGGACCAGACTGGGGAAGTGTGGGCTTGTAAGCCTTCCAGGCTCGTGATTATTGAACACCCCACACAGAGCTAGAAAACTGCATCTTGAATTCTCCTTCCTATATACCACTGACCTTGGGGGCTGCTGCTGGGCTGGCTCCAAATCCCACTAGAAAGAGAAGACTGTAAGCCCCTGCCATCTTCACTCCTAGAAAGACCTCTATCCTCCACACTAAAGCACACTTCATTATAAAAATACTGCTGCTCTGTCACTTGTGAGCTGTGGCACTCTTCTAGCATCAATTTCCCAAATGGGAATGACAATAACTACCTGGTTTGTATCACAGGCTGATGGATAAAAATGAGAAATTGAAGTGAACTCTTCATAAACAATGATTGCCAAGTCTGGAAAGGGCACTGTGGTTCCAGGGCTGACACAAGTAGGGCTGGTTAGGAGGCAGAAGCCTTGCTCTGGGTAGCCTACCATAAGACACAATCTTAAAATATACCATGTAAGGGGCTGAGGATGTAGCTCCTTAGTACTGCACCTGCCTGGCAAGCGCAAGGTCTTGCATTCGATCCCTGGTACCAAAATAAATAAAATATATCATCTAAAGAAAAGCAAGCTTCTGGTCCAGAACATCAGGCCCCAACACTGGGTCTGCATCATAGGAGTTGTGTGATTTTATACATTTCACGCTGGTTTCCTAAAATGGAAAATGAGGCGACTGCCATCCACCTTGCAGTTATTGTGAGATGTAAATGAATAGATTTCTGTGAAGTGCCTAGCAAAATACCAGCAGAACCACAGGCAAGAAGATGGTATGCAAACTATCCTTATTCTTGGGAGATCATCTAAGTTTCCTTTTTCCTACAAGGAAGACATACAGATGCAACTCACCCTGGAATTCAAGGAGGAGAGAGGAATTGGCTGAGGCATCAGAGGGAAAGCCATTAGGTTCCCGGGCTGCTGAACTGTTGGATTTTGACTTCTCTTTCTAGAAAAGGAAAACAAAGAGGAATATGACAGAGCCAAGCAGAAGACTCACAAAGAGGAAGAAAGGTGCTCTGCTATGTGAGAACCCACAAAGGATGGGGGAGTAGGACTAAACAGGAAGGAAAGGGGTTGAGATTCCAGGGAGCCAAGGATAACAGAATCCTGGGCAAGGTGCTTCTCAAGCCTCCTCAGCTGTATGGAACAAACCCTTCTAGGGCGAATAAGCTGAATCAAAAGTGAGCAGCAAGTGCTTCTGCCTCTACTAGAGCTTCCTGTGGCTCCCCCATGCTCCAATCACATGCTCCGTCCAGCCCTTCCCTGTGTGGATGCGCAAGAAATACATTCATCTGAAGAGGACTCCTGTCTTAGTAGCACAGGGGAAGAGAAGACTGCTAGTGGGACAAAAGGAGCCCTTATACATATCACGCAAGCAGCACGGTACAGAAGGACCCCTTGCTGAAGGGTCGCCCTCGTGCGCTCCAAATGATCACCGCATATTTGCCTTTGCCACTAGCAGGTCAAGCAGGGTATACGCTCATATGGGTAGGGAATCCACAGGTAAGTGCTAGCTAGCTTGCAACCAGTAAGCCGGGGTGAAGGAAATAATCAATCTAAGCTTTTGCAAGTGACAGCATTTCAAAAGCAAATTGCATAAATCTAAGTCACCTCCCATTTACCAGTTCACGTCTTTTATACATGTTAATTTATTAGAGATAGACTAGTACAATTTAGTTTCTGAATAAATCAGCTATATATATTTATATGTCCTTACCTTCCTTACCTCCTTTTTTTTTTTTCTTTTTCAGCCCTAGGGATGGAAACCAGGACCCTGTGCACACTAGATAAGTGCTCTACCACTGAACCACATCCCTAGACACTGTCCTTACCTTCATTTTTCACACACAGATGTAATTTTAACCTAACTGCAAACAGTCTGGCATTTTACTACATATGCTACATAAACCAATGTTTTTTTCTGGTCTGGGAATCAAATTCAGGACCTTGTAGTTGCCAGGCAAGCACAGTGCCACTGAGCTACATCACCAGCCCTTCATAAATCTACCCCCCCATACTAGGGATCGAACTCAGGACCATGAACTTGAGAGGCAGGCGCAGCACCACTGGGCTAAATCCCTGGCCCCATAAACCCATTTTTAACACTTGCATAATATTCTATATACCATGATTGATTTAATCTGATCTCAACTCTTAGACATTTAGCTTTAATTCAGATTGTGCTTACTTATTACTACTAAGAATAAAGCCCTGGTGCTCAACTTTTACTTCTTTTCCTAATTAATTTATTCAGATAATTTGTTAAAAACATACTCCTTCTAGATCAAAATTATAAATGGAGCCAGGCATGGTGGTATTTGCCTATAAATCTTAAGACTCAGGAGGCTGAGGCAGGAGGCTCACCATGAGTTGAAGGCCAGGCTGGACTACACAGTGAGTTTGGGCCAGCCTAGACTACATAATAAGACCTTGTGTCAATAAAATAAGAAAGAAAACAAAAACAAAACTGACCCCAAATTATTGTTCTTGAAATACACTGTATCTCACTGCTTTGTACAAGAACATAGCAGGATGGGAAACAGTGCAGTGGTGGAGCCTCTGTCTAACATGCACAAGGCGCTGGGTTCCAACCCCAGAGTCATAAAAAATAAAGTCAAAGAATGTAGCAATATATTTGACGTACTATTTTCATAGCACCCATACCAATATTTGGCTTTACCATTACCTTTCTCTGATCTCCTACTTTATTGATTATGTGTTCACATAAAATATGTATTCACTATATAAAATTGTGAAAATGCAGAAAAAAGAAAATCACCTGAACAGAGACAACCTGCTTATAATAAGGCAGGTGGCAGAACCACTGAGCTAAATCCCCATCCCACAACTTCCATATGAAAAAGGATCATCATATATAATATAATTTACTCCCTCCCTTACTGTATTATAAACATTTCTCTGTTTCACTGAATAGCCTTCTATAACTTGGGAGTATGGAAAAATGAACCCAGGGCCTTTGCACTGAGATACACTCTCAGCTCTTTTTAAAAATTTTATTTTGAGACAGGGTCTTGCGAAGTCACTAAATTGCCCAGGCTGGGCCTGAACTTGCAATCTTCCTGCCTCAGCTTCCCAGAGTGCTGGGATTCTAGGTGTGTACCAAAGTGCCTGGCTCTGTGACATTGTTTGTAAGTGTTACAAAGCTTTACACCATTGGGCATACACTAAACTTTGTAAATTCCTTCAATATAAAACTTTAGTTTGCTTGAGATTTTTAAATACTACAAACAATACTACAATATTGAACACTGTAGATATACCATAAACAAATCATGATTATCTCCCAAGGATGAAGTCCTCAAAGTTTGGGAATACAAAGGAAAATACTTTGAAAGCTTATTAACAGAAATGGAAAGAATATAAATACATATGATTAACCCTATCTGTACCAGCTTTGTGCCAGTGGACTGTCCCATCAGCAACTGTCCCATCCCCTGGTCTCCTTCATATTTTTTTCCTTGACCAATCTGATCATCGCCCTTTCCATCTTTCCTGCTGCCAGGAAGGGAGATCAGCTGGTGAACCCTAGCCCCCAGCTCACAATCAACACAAACAGTGGGAGAAGGCAGGCTGCTTGGCAGGTGCTTCCAGGCCCAATCAGCTATGCTTGCAGGAAAGCTGCTGCAAAACTTACAAAGAACCAGCCGTCCTGTCTGAGGAGTGGCCTAGAACAAACTTCGATTATAACACTGCCCACTATGGTGTGAACACGCGGCACACTGGATGCGGTAGGCTCAAGAATCTGCCCCACCCAAAAATGGGATGTTGAGTGCTCTCTCCAGGGCCACTCACTTTGTCTGCAGGGCACAGTGACTTGGGGTTATCCCCAGTGCTCCTGAACTCCTGAACTGCTGCAAGCTGGCTGAGCTCACAGGGTCTGCACTCACCTGAAGGGGAGCCCAGGGTGGGTGAGTCTCGGAGGGGAGGAGACAGGTCCTGCCTCACATACACAGCCACCAGAGAGATCCCACTGCCTGACCCTCATGAACAAGATGAGAGCACCACTGCAGTGAGAACTGGTGGGGACCAATGTGCTACCTTGGAGCCCCTAGATATTCACCTGGGAACGGCTCCAGATAAAGGCAGCCCCAGAGGAATGATGCTGGGGTCCCTGGGGCAGGAGGAGACTGCACAGAGCAAACAGGGAAGGCTGAGAACTGACACAAACCCTACCCTCTACATTCACATTAGAAGCCAGGGCAGCCAGCAACAAGGAGAGGGCGCATGGAAGGCACCCCTGACACTGTGGAGCTCCAGCAACATGACAGCAACAGCAGAGTCCACAGAAGACAATACTGATACAAGGAAGATGGAAGCCAAGCATGGTAAGTCTCCTCAGAAAGTCAGGCTGACAATGACGCTGCAAACTGAGACAGTGTGGCATAAAAACTACAATCATTCAGAATTAAGGGGCCGGGGATTTGGCTCAGTGGTTCCGCCACCTGCCTCACAAGCACAAAGACCCAAGTTCGATCCCTGGTAACAAAACAACAACAAAAACTGAACAGAATTAAAAATTAAGTGATGAGTTTAATAGAAATAGATATAACTGAAGAAAAGATTAATGAGTGAAAACTGGGTCAATAAGCTCAGAATGGCTGGGTGTAGTGGTGCATGCCAATAATCTCAGTCCTTAGGAGACTGAGGCAGGAGGATCACCATGAGTTCAAGCTGGGCTACATAGCGAATTCAAGGCCAGCCTGTCCTACAAAGTGAGACCCTGTCTCAAAAAATAAACAAAAAAGAAAAACAGGTTAGGAATTGTACAGCTAGACAAGATATGACTTAAAAGTGAAGAAGGACTGGACACAGGGACAAAGAGGAACAGCAATCACTGGTAAAAGGAATGAGAGGTCAAAATGGACTAACAGCCAAACGTAGTGGTGCATCCTGGTAGTTCCAACACTTGAGAGGCTAAGACAGGAGGATGACAAGTTTCAGCCACATAAGCAACTCAGCAGTTTAGTGAAACACCCATTTCAAAATTTACAAAACTAAAAAGGAGCTGGGGACATAGCTCATTTGGAAGGCCCTGGGTTCAACCCCCAGCCCCCACCCCCAAAGACAATTTAGAAGTCATTTACAGCCAGGCATGGTAGCTGAGGCTGGAGGACCATTATAAGTTCAAGGCCAGCCTTGGCTACAGAGTAAGCTCAAAGCCAGCCTGAACTACATGGTAAGATCCTGTCTCAAAAATCTAAAAAAAAAAAAAGACACCACCAACTATCATTTATTTTTTAAAAAGATTATGTATTTTGTCTGCATAAAATTGAACATTTCAGTTATTCAGAACACTATAAACAAATAATTTCTACTAGTTATGTGAAAAAGACTACCTGAGCAAACAGAAAAATGGACAAGACTTAAGCAAGCACTTCCTAGAAAAAGGTGATCCAGAAAGATTTATCATTCACTAGGTACTCAGCCTCATCATCAATGACATAGTAAGTCATCAAATGAAATCCTCAAGAAGCTATCTTTATGCCTAAGTCTAATAGTCCGACGAGCTGATACAGATCTGGAGCAATAAAGAACTCTCTAATTTCTAGTGGGACTAGAAATGTGTGTATAACCAATCTGGAAAAGAGGCTAACATCAGTGAAACAGGTGAAAATACACATACCCCAAGGCTCGGCAATCCCACTCCTGGGAACAGATCCCTGGGAAAATACACAGCACACTGACCTGAATGCTGAACAAAAAACGTTTGTAGGGTCACCACTCCCCTTACCCCAAACCAAGACCAAGCCAAATGTCCATCTATAGGAGAATCAAAAGGGTGATGACACAGTCAGATAATGAAACACCACACAGCACTGAAAAGGTGCAAGGAGTACATTTTTGAGACTGCTTAAACAATCCTCATTAGCACCAGATGCAATTTTCTTTAAAAACAAAAACAAAAACAAAATAAAACAACAACAAAATACCAAGGTGTGGTGCATGCCTGTAAGCCTACCTACTCCAGAGGCTGAGGCTGGAGGATCACAAACTCAAGGTCAGCCTGGGCAACTTATTGAGATCCTTTCACATTAAAAAAAAAAAAAAAGTTTTGGATATAGCTCACTGATAGAATTTGGTTGGGATCATCTCCAATACTGCAAGACAAAATAAAAACAAACAAAAATAAATAAAATAAATTAAAATAAATAAATAATTTTTTAAAAATTTGAAATCTATGATTTTATTATTTAAGTGTGCAGCTCAGTGGTATTAAGTACTTTCCTATTATTTTGAAACCATCACCCTATCAATTACAGAACTTTTTCATCTTCCAGTGAGACTGTCCCCATTAACTAATTCCCACCACCTGGTAACTACTAATCTGTTTTCTGTCTCTACAAATTTAACTATTTTTTTTTGAGCAAATAATTTTATTTCCTTTGTAAATATAAATAAAATTCAAAATTATGTTAAACATAAAAGCTACAACTATAAAACTTCTAAAATAAATCTGAGGAGGGAAGAAAGCTCCACAACATTGGTATTAGTAATAATTTCTGGATTGACACCAAAAGTGCAAGGAACAAAAGCAAAATAAACATCTGAGAAATATTTAAATGTTTCTTGAAGTGTAAAGGAAACAATAAACTAAATAAAAATGTAGCCCATAGAATAAGAGAAAAATATATACATACACATATATATTATATAAAGAATAACCCCATACAGTGATAAGCAGTTAATATTCAAGGTATATATGAAACTCATAAACTCCATCAACAAAAAATAAATTACCTGATGAAAATATGAGCAAAAGATTTGTGTTCTATTACAGTTTATTCACACCAGAGAAACTATTCGGTATTTACACGTGTGACTTATTTATTTCACTTAGGAGGATATCCTCAATATGTATCCATTTTCCTATAAATGAATCTAATTTCTCATTCTGAGTAGTATTCCATTTTATAGAAAAACCACATCTTCTTTACCCAATCTCCAATTGATGGGCAAATGGGCTATTTTCAAGTTTTACCTATTACAAACTGTGCCGCTATAAACATGAGTGTGCATATATCACTCTGGTGTGATTCTTTTAATTCTTTTGGAAAGATACCCAGAAGAGAGACGGTTGGGTCAAATGGACCCTCTAGTCCCAGCTCTTTGATGTATCTCCATACTGATTTCCATAGTGGTTGCACCAGACTGCACTCCCACCAACAATGGAGAAGGGTTCTTTCTCCCCACAACCCCACCAACATTTGTTATTGGCTGATTTCTTGATGGCAGCCATTCTTTGTGGGGTGAGGTGGAATCTGTGTTGTTTTCATCTGCATCTCTCGAATGACACACGATGTGGAACATTTTTTCATATATTTACTTGCTGCTTTTACTTCTTTGTCTGAGAAATGTCTGTTAATTTCAGATGCCCATTTTTGAATCGGGTCTTTATATTTGGGGGGACTGATTGTTTTGAGTTCTTTATAGAGTCTAGATAACATAGTCCTTTGTCTGAGGAGCAGCTGGTAAAATTTTTTTCCCACATTGTAGGTTTTCTCTTAGTTCTGTTGATGGTTTCTTTTGCAGTGCAGAAGCTTTTTAATAAGATGAGATCCCAGTTGTTCTTTCTGCTAGTTCCCATGCTGAGAATTTGTTCATAAAGTCTTTTCCTATGCCAATGTCTTCTAGAGTTCTGCCTAACTTATCTTCCAGCAAGTTGTGTTTCTATTTTAATATTTAGGTCTTTAATCCACTTGAATTTTAATTTAGTGCATGGTGAAAGACAAGGATCTAGTTTTAATCTTTGTCAGGTTGAGATCCAGTTTTTCCAACACCATTTATTAAAGAGGCCATCCTTCCTCCAGTGGGGACAGTCAGCTCCTTTATCAAAGATGAGGTAGCTCAGTACATCTGAAGTTGTTTTTGTGTCTTCCAATCTATTCCACTGATCCTCAGGTCTGTTTCTTTGCCAGTACCATGCTGCTTTTATCACAGTGGCTTTGTAGTATAGTTTCAAATTGGGAATTGTTATACCCGCTGCCATGTGTCTATTGCCTAGAATGGCTTTTGCTATTCTAGGTCTCTTATGACTCCAAATGAATTTTTGGATTCTTTTTTCTGGTTCTGTGAAATATAGTGTTGGAATTTCAATTGGCATTGCATTGAATCTATAGCAGTTTTGGTAGTATGGCCATTTCCACTAAATTGATTCTTCCTACCCAGGAGCAGGGGATATCGTTCCATTTTCTTATATCCTCTTCAATTAAAAAAAAAAAAGTTTTTGGATATAGCTCACTGATAGAATGTGCTTGAGTTCATCCCCAATACTGCAAAACAAAATAAAAACAAACAAAAATAACAAAATGGCTAGGGATTTAGCTCAGTGGTTCCACTGCCTGCCTTGCAAGCTCAAGGACCTGAGTTCGATTCCCTGCACCAAAAAAAAAAAAAAAAAAAAAAAAAAAATTGGAAGAAGGCCGGAAGATGGCTTAAGTCAAAGCATTAAGGGCCAGTCTGGGCAAAATAGTAAGACTCTGTTTCTAAGAAAAGGAGGAGAAGCAGAAAGGGAAGAAAATGAACAAACAGCTTCAAAGACAACATGGATTGATTTTTATAAGCATAATGCTGGGTCCCCCCCAAAAAACCCACATAAATATACTGTTTATATAAAGTTATAAATGCTTCTAAGTGTCTGGAAAAAAGGTAAGAAAAGCAGTAGGGGAGCAATTACCTCTAGAGGAAAGGGAGGAGCCTGTCAGGAAGAGTGACAGAGATTTCTGGTGAGCTGGCTATATCCTTTAACTACCCCTCCATAATGGGGATCAAACCCATGGGCCCACTCTACCACTGAGTTGTATCACCATGTTTTCTAAAAATCTTTTTTGAAAAAGGGTCTCATGAAGTTGCCCAGCAAGGCCACAAACTTGCAATCCTCCTGCTTCAGCATTCCTAGTAGCTGCAGTTAAAGGAGTGAGCCACTGCACAAAGCTGTATTTTATTTTTTTACCTGAGTGGTTTGTAATAAGGATATCAGCTTTGTATTTATTATACTGTACAGTTGTTTTGAATACTATTTTGTATGTTTTAGATTTGAAATTTTTAAAAACAACTAGGAAAAAGAAAGTTGGAGACGATATGAGCGTACATCACCCAAGGACTATGCAGCCAAACATGGCCTCTGCAAAAGAGAACACAGGACCAGGGTCAAAAGTAACAGCTCTAGTCATGTTTAGTGACTCAGTCAAGGTTGAACAAAAGAAAAAAAATGCGAGTTTATAGTACAATATGTAGGTTTTATATATAATATACATATGTATGAAACAATACTATATATTTTTCAAGAATACACAGGTATCAGACAGGCATGGTAGTAAATCCTATAATCCCAGCACCCTGGAAGGCTGAGGCACAAGGATTAAAGGCTTGACTCCAGCCTGGAAAACTTCGTGAATCTCTGTCTCAAGAATAGTCTGTATCAGCTGGGGGTGCAGCTCAGGGTTAGAGCACTGGCCTAGCATGTGTGAGGCCCCAGGTTCAGAGGACACCACTGTGTGCCAAGAATGCTACACTGACAACTGTTGCTTGTCAAGCCCTGGGAAAGCAGAATGGGCTAAGGGAAGGCAACAGTGGCTTAGTGTTACTGACGTGCTAAAGAGAGGCCTTGTACGGAACAATGACAGAGGACACCAAGTATTTTCAACTTAGATATGGAGAAGTAACCCTTCATCATTAAGAGTTAATCAAAAAGAGAGAGACAGAGACAGAGAGAAAACAATACCTTTTTGTTGTCTGGATTTTCTTCCACACTTACCTCCTTGCTGTCTGTCACAGGAACCCATTTAAATATTCTAAGGGACGTGTCACCCACAGTCACCCACTTTTTCTCCCTAAAAGAAAGGCAATTCTTAGAATGTAACACCAAAATAAATTTCCTGTTCTAGAGGATCATTCCATTAATCTGAATGTCATCAGATCATATACCTGAAGTGCTGCTGGGAACAGCAAATAATCAAGTTGTGGACACAGAGTCTGGAAGGCAGTTTGAGGCTATTTTGTAGAAGGTATTAAACACTGGGTTAAGGAATCTGCACACATTTCTTTTGCTGTTTCCTGCAGTGCTGAGAACTGAACTCTACTAGCCAGCTGCTCTACCACACAGCTACCTCCCCAGCCCTTTTGTTATTCCATTTTGAGGCAGAGTTTTGCTAAACGCCCAGCCTGGACCCAACCAAGGAAACTGGCATTATAGGCAAGTTCAGCAAATTATGACACCACAGAAATTTAAAGAAAAAACATTTTTACATTTCATAATGCATTTTTTTATCCATTAGCATTACCAGGCATATACAACAGAATCCTCTCTCTAGCTAGTTTAAAGCAGGAAAGGATTTGCTAGAAATGCACCAAAATGTTGAAAGGGCTGGAGAGAAAACTGTAATCTGGGATTCCAGCAACAATTCAAGTCACACCAAGAACTAGAGTAACAAGGGAGATCTGGCTCCCCATTCCTGCACCAGCCCTGGCCCACATATCTCTCTTATCTTCCCCAAGCCCTGAGTTATCCACTTCTCCCACAGCCAAGAAGCTATCGCCACTCCTGCTAGCTCCAGAAATACACCACTCCCTATTCCTCCAGTCCCAACCAAATTTGTGTCCCAAGAAATTGTAATGTAACCGAATGAAGACTTAGGAAACTGGAATTAACCCCTTAATAATTCACTCCATTTCCTCATTTATTTAAAAAATATCTAATAGGCAAGACTCTGTGCTGAGCTCCAGCAATGTAGGGAATCCTATGCTAGACCCCAGGGGTCTCTCCCTACCCTCTTAGAGCCTGCATTCCAGCAGGAAACAGATCAACAAATCATTAATTATCATCAATTATAATTATGTTTAACTATTTCCTTCCTTCCTTTTTTCTCCCCAAGAGATGAGGTCTCTCTCATCCAGGCTGATCTCAAACTCCTGGGCTCAAGCAATCCCACTGCCTCAACCTCCCAGGTAGCTGGTATTACAGGCCTGTGTCATCCAGCTAAAGTATCACTTAGGTGATACTAAAAGTCAAACACAGATAATGTCCTGCAGTTCAATCTAATACAACTGTGGAAAATTCTATGAAGGAGACCTGATGTAGATAGGGAAATCTCAAAAGTAACCTTGGGGAAGCAATTTGGGAGCTGAGCTAGAAATTAACTAGGTAAAAGAAAAGAAAAAAGAAATTAACTAGGTAAAGAAATGGGGACAAGAGTGGGGTACCTTCTCAAAACATCAGCACACTACTAGCATCCTGGGAAAGAGACAGTCTGGAAGTTGTTTTTTATTTTTTTTTCCCCCGAAAGGAATTTCTTTGCTCATTATTTTAAAAGCAAAAACAAAAAGCCACCAGCCAGGTGCGGTGGCACTTGCCTGTAATCCCACCATTTGGGAGGCTGAGGCAGGAGGATCATCATGAATTTGAAGCCAGCCTGGGATACACAGTGAGAACCTGCTTCAAAAGATTAAAAAAAAAAAGGCCACCAAAGCAGAACCATTGCTTTGGAAGCAGAGGGGTACTATGCTGTGTGTTTTTAAAAGCCTAAGGTACTTGCAAGTGAGAAAAACAAAATCACACAGTACACCATGACCGGACTGGGGAATGGGCAAGAAAAGAGGCAGGAAGATTGCTGATCACAGGGAAGGAAGACTGCTGGAGTGCCAAGTGAGAAAGGATGGCTCTATGGCTGTTGGGACGCAGGATGGCAAGAAGAGAAGGAATGGTTTGCTGATGTTTAAGTTTCACCAAAATCCATGAGGATCCCAAATAAAGAAGGAAACCTAAATTATTTAACTAACATTTGAATCTCAAGTACACATGAAACCCGTGAGTACAGTGAGAAAGAAATTTTCGTCTTTCAGGGAAGTGGACATTAAAAGTTCATGGTACCGTTGTCCTTTGAGAGGCAGGAAGGTGAAGAGTGGGAGGGCCCCCAAGTAACACCTACCTGAACTAATAGGCTAGAGAAAAAGGCTCAAGAGTCGGGCTGTGAAAGTTTAATATGAGGAGACATCGGATATCCTGATACAAAACAGTCGCTCAAAAAAACGGGAGGCCTGGGGATGGATATAGCTCACAATCCTGAGTACCACAAAACAAGAACAAGAGTCGCTCAATCGATGTATTCAATGAACGTTACAGACGCCTTTTACAAATGACTCAAGTGACGGCTCCCAGGGTACCAAGGTCGCAGCGTGAGAGAACCTGGTATTGGAGGAAGGAGCGAGGTTTCCACTCCACGACCACACTTGCTCCTTTGGCAGACTGCCCCAAACTTTACTAAACTTCAATGACTTCATACGTGCAGTGCTCTCGGTGTGGCGGACCGAAACCACTTCATGATACTTCACTACCATCACCGGTCAGTTTGGAAACTGAGACCGGGATGCGACACAGGTACGGTAGTCCCAGGACAAAGTGCGCAACACCAAAATTCATCAACTGAGCGAGACAGGAAGCCGGAAGCCGGTGGCCGCGACAGGTGGGCGGGTCCATGAGCCGGGCGGGCCTCTGATTGGCCACGGCGGGCACGCCCTCTAACCTCACGCCTGC